ACAAACAAACATGTATTCATGGGAATTATGCCCATTTGGAAGGATAACATGTAGAGCTTTTATTAGACATTTATTGTTTCATTTAAGTGTTCAATTACTTTGATGAAAAAGTTGATAAAATCGTAAAAAAAACATATTTTGTGAACAATTCGTTTTTCGAAAGAATCATCTTCATTTTGAAACTTAAGACACAACTTAATATTCCTTTTAAATGTTTAAAAGGTTCACAAAAGAAACATTAGATACTTTTCCATAGTTTGTGAATCTGTTTCAAACATTTGAAGCAGTTCTTATATAAACTGGGTAAACTGTGGATGTGTTTGGTGAGTTTGTTTGTGTCAAAGTCAGAGAGCCGTGTCTCTCTACAGTGAGAGGTTTTTGTACGGCGGCTCAATGACTTTGTATCACTGTGGTACACGTTCGGTGGAGGAACCAGACTGGATGTTGGAAGTAAGTCAAATGTTATTTTACCAGAGCAATTTCTCTTTTGTTGTGTATTCAGCATACTAGGCAAAATAGTTGCCTCTCCATGTATAAATTCTTCTCAAATATTTTGCACTAAGAGGCTAACTTTCCTCCAGCAAAAGACGTTTAAATGTTTTTATGAGAGTTAAACGAGAATAAATCCTTATTTCCACCTTTAATGGTGAAGTAGCATCTTGAGGGCTGGTAGGTTTAGTTCAGTGTGTCAAAGTCAGAGAGCCGTGTCTCTCTACAGTGAGAGGTTTTTGTACGGCGGCTCAATGACTTTGTATCACTGTGGTTGACTTTTGGTGGAGGAACCTGACTGGATGTTGGAAGTAAGTTTCTGCACAAAAACTAAATATGATGTTGTTAAGAGATGTTTTAAATTCTATGTTAGAATGTTTGAGAGATAGATTTTTATTATTTTAATCGTAATGTTTAGATAGTATTAGTATTCATCTCTTTATTTCATCATTGAGCCTAAGTCGGAGAAGATTTTCTTCAAATGTCTTTATACATTCCCAACATACTGTCATTTAAACAGCTTCAAATGTGAAATGATAAAAATGCTAATTTTACCTTAACTTATTTTAAATGTATCTATCTCGGTTCTCCCCTCTGTTTTCAAAGACATTAGGAAAACAGTTTTCATATACAGTTAAACAGAGTAAAGATAACGATGGATATTAAAAAATGTGTTGAATTCTTTCAGACATTATTTTAAAGTTAGTAAAACTGGGTAGTGATTGAGATTCACATTAAGCTCAATTGATTGCTCCATTTCCCGTATTTGTTCATTTATCCAGTAAATCATTTAAAAATGGTTTGCTGAGTTCAGGTTTTGGATGATTTGGACCACAACTTTTTAAATGCTTCCTAATGTTGTACTTTATTTCCAGTGTAGTTGAGGTGATTCTGTATGAAGTGCCTCTGTGCTGATTTGCATGAGAGGCTTCTTAAAGGGAAGTGAAACAATGTGTGAGTGAGAGACTGATGGAGCAGAACCAACATCTGACAGAAACTCCTTAAAGGAGAAACGCTCTCACAGTAAAGGTGTCCCAGTGTCTGCTGGTTGATTGACAGCTGTGTGCTCCCTGTCCTCTAATCTGATTGGTCTCTCCTAGGTGATGTCCGTCCCACCCTGACGGTGCTGCCCCCCTCCACAGAAGAGCTGCAGCAGGGGAAGGCCACGCTCGTGTGCCTGGCCAACAAGGGCTTCCCCTCAGACTGGAGTCTGGCCTGGAAGGTGGACAGCAGCAGCAGCAGCAGCAGCAGCTGGGAGGAGAGCAGGAGCCCCGGGGTGCTGGAGAAGGACGCCCACTACAGCTGGAGCAGCACCCTGAGGCTCCCTGCAGACCAGTGGAGGAAGGTGCGCTCTGTGACCTGTGAGGCCACCCAGGGCTCCCAGACTGCGCTCTCAGAGACACTGAGGAGAGACCAGTGTTCCCAGTCCTGAGCTGACTCACTGGGACTCTGCTTTCTCTCTCACACTGCTCTCAGGACATGTTTCAACATCAACCTGTTTTTGCTTGTGTCGATGGTTTCAACATTTTAAAACAATAAAGATTAATGTGTGTATTATAAAAGTGACATGTCTTCGGATTCCCTTTCTGTGAGATATGATATATATAAGAAACCTTATTCACATTAATTCACAAATGTCACAACATTACCAAGTCAATATAACCCATATTACTTTTTAATGATCTTAAAGGTCCCATGTCTTGGCCATTTCTACTGATCATAATTCCATTGTTGAGGTCTACTAGAATACATTTACATTGTTCAATGTTCCAAAATCACATTGGTTTCTCATACAGCATGTCTGTATAGTATGTGGAATACTGGTGACTGCTGCGTGGGGTCTGAGCATCGCGGCTGAGAAAAGATAAGTGTGAGTGAGTCCAATTGGTCCATTTGGACTTAGTGACGTCAACCTGCCCCGGAAGAAAAAAATGGAAAAAGATAAATCTCCAACGAGGCGTTCTGGGGCAGCACAGACAGGTCTTTTCTGTGTTAGAGTTTTACTCGCTACAGGGTGTACTTTGATGGTTTGTGACTCTGCAGACCATTTACATGCAGAAAAAGCTACATAACACACAAGGGGACGGGTAGTAACCAGAAAAGCATGTCATGGGACCTTTAAGGGTTTGGATATACTTCTGGATTTATTCTAGTTTTATTTTTATTAATAAAGATTGGTACCAATAACAATAGCATGAACATTTCAATGGTAAACCACAAAGCTCTCTCTTATTACTAATGTGTAAGTACATCCATGTGTGATGTTCATGTGTTGTTAAACTGTACCTTGAATATATTCTGACCATCTGAATCAAAACTTCTAAATAAGATTGTCCAGGATAAGAAATAAAAAGCAGGCTATCATCATCATCATAAAGTCATATAACATGAATCCTCAAATATTATTTAATGGACACAGTACAACTCCACCAAAGAACTTGAGACCAAAGAGAGAGTACCACAGGCTCTGTCTCTGCTGTCTGTTTGCAGAATTATTAAATTACACGATTTTTTGCTGATTGAATCAAAACTGATATTATATGAAAACAAATACTTATTTATTACCTTAGTTGTGTGAATGCCTTTCATAAGAATTCAATCGCTCATGTTTCTGTATGACATATGACAGTAGATCCTGATTATCTTGATGGATATATTTGAAAATCATTGGTGGAGAAGATGCTTTTACAAAGGTGTTACTCTGAGAAGATTATTTTGCAGTGGTGTTACTCTGAGAAGATTATTTTGCAGTGGTGTTACTCTGAGAAGAGGCTTGAGACCCTGATCTTTCTTCCTAAATCTTTAGTAGGGGGGAGCTGGGGAACAAACGAGAGATGGTAATGTTTGGAAAGTCTTTTCTGTGTGTGGAGGAAGGTAGAGGAAGAGGAGGAGGGAATCATGGCAGCTTGTCAGAGGTAATTCAGGAAGCACTCAGCTCTTTATGTGGTGTTTCCTCGACTCGCTGAAGAAAATTGAGACCAGTGGAGTCTGGGAGATAAAGACGGAGCAGAAAGTCCAGCCAGAGCCGAAGCATTCTATCCCTCCTCGACTGCTGGTGAGTTCAATCATATTTGGATCTTTGTGATCGCTTTGCAGGTGCTGTGGATTGCATTGGTGCATTTATGTCAATGACATTGGATTTAGATGGATGGATATTTACTTTATTCATCCCAATTTGGGAAATTATTTTGTTACCGGACCAGTGTGTTCAACATTAAAATACAAATACTTAAAAAGTGGAATAGAGTTAACAATTAACAATTACAAATCAAATGAAAATGGAAAATAGTATATCAAATATAAACACTATAAACAACATAACAAATTCTGGATATTTAAAATATTCTTTACAAAGGTCAAAAATACTGCAGTAGCAGGAATATAGGCTTATGCTATACTGTATAAACATATGAGAGCATATCATTTACAAATATACAGAACATTGTAAATTGTTATCAGGAAGTGGAGCTCAATGCAGCAGTGAGCTCTCTGCCAGCCAGAGGTGAGGTGTTGAAAAGTGTTATTGCAGAAGGCAGGAATGTTTTCCTGTACCTCTCTGTGTGACAGCGGAGCAGTCTGTTGGAGAAGGAGCTCCTGTCTGTCCAGCTGCAGGTGGAGAGGGTGGGTGGGGTTATCCATGATGGATAACAGTTTGTTAAGTGTCCTCCTCTCCACCACAGCTACAAACTGCCCAGTTTCACACCGATGATAGAGCCAGCTCTCCTGATCAGTTTATTGAGTCTGCTGGTGTCACCGGCTTTGATGCTGCCCCCCCCCCCCAGCAAACCGCAGCACTGGCCACAACAGACTGGTAGAAGATCTCCAACATCTTGCTGCACACTTGGAAGGATCTCAGCTTCCTCAGAAAATAGAGTCGGCTCATCCCCTTCTTGTACACAGCGTCAGTGTTGATCCTCCACTTCAGTCCGTTGTCTACGTGCACTCCCAGGTACTTACTCTGTTTACTGGATTATTCAGCCGCTTTTAAAAGACTGTTTTTTGAGTTGGACAATTCCTGTGGACTTGAACATTTCTCCAGTTATTGTAGTTTGTGCTGCTGTTGGGGACAGAGTTATTTCCAAACAAGGATGTTTGATTTGAAGTTGGGACTTTTGATCTTTGGGAGTCTCTCCAGTGAGACAGAAGTGAACACTGTTCAAAAGGAAGATGAGCACCCATGAGTTTAGTGTGGCTTTTATAGATTTAGATTTACAATGTTCCTATGGTGTGTGTATGAGTTCATTCTCTTTATATTCCCTTGAGAAGTATTTCAGAATTCTTTGCTTGAAAAAGAAGAAAGTTACATGCTTAATGGAGATGACGGACATTTCATGTGTGTGTGTGTGTGTGTGTGTGTGTGTGTGTGTGTGTGTGTGTGTGTGTGTGTGTGTGTGTGTGTGTGTGTGTGTGTGTGTGTGTGTGTGTGTGTGTGTGTGTGTGTCCTCAGTGAAGTGTAGCTTCCAGCTGCAGCAGTCAGTTCAGTTCCTGTTCAGTCTGACTGAGGGAGGTTTTTGTACGACGCTTTTTCACTGTGTGAACACAGATTGACTGTTGATCTCATGATAACTCTGACAGTAGTAAACTGCTGCATCATCAGTCTGGACTCCACTGATGGTCAGAGTGAAGTCAGAGTTTGATCCACTGCCTGTAAAACGCTCTGAAATCCCTGATGCTCGAGTGGTAGCATAATAAACGAGAAGTTTAGGAGTTCCTCCATCTCTCTGTTGGTACCAGGCTAAACGGTTCCCACCATAAACACGGGAACTGGTCGTACATGTGATGGAGACGGAGCGTCCCGGAGCAGAGCTCACTGCTCCAGACTGAGTCACTGTGACCTGGCCTCTGGACTCTGAGGATACAGAGACAAAGACATAAAGCAGCGTCATGGTTTTGTCCGCTTCATTCCAGAGGGACGGATGTTCACAGAGGAGAGGAGTTTGATTCTCTGGACTTTACCTGTGAAGCAGCAGCAGAGGAGAGTCCAGATGAGGACGCAGATCAAAGTCATGTTTTTGATGAGGAGGATTTCTGTGGCTTCTGTTGTCATGAAGGACAACTGTCAGTCATCCAGTGTTCAACTCTCAGGACTATAAGGTCTCCCAGAGCACTGGAGCATGGTGCTGCTGATGCAAAGTGTCTCTCTATGGAAATGCTCTGACTGACTCCAACAGGGACCTGGATTACTCTGATGATGCTGTTTATCAATGGATCCATCTCTCTGTCAGAGGATTGATCAGGAATGGGTCAGCGCTCACTTGTTTGAGGCTCTAAGTTCAATGGACACATTTTCTTGCAGTTAATTTCATTAAAAAGCTCAAATGAATAACCCCAAATAATCAATACCACCTAGGAAAAACAAAATGGAGGTTTATTATGAATCCTGATGGACAAACAAACATGTATTTATGGGAATTATGCACATTTGGAAGTATAACATGTAGAGCTATTATTAGACATTTATTGCTTAATTTAAGTGTTCAATTACTTTGATGAAAAAGTTGATAAAATCGTAAAAAAACATATTTTGTGAACAATTCGTTTTTCGAAAGAATCATCTTAATTTTGAAACTTAAGACACAACTTAATATTCCTTTTAAATGTTTAAAAGGTTCACAAAAGAAACATTAGATACTTTTCCATAGTTTGTGAATCTGTTTCAAACATTTGAAGCAGTTCTTATATAAACTGGGTAAACTGTGGATGTGTTTGGTGAGTTTGTTTGTGTCAAAGTCAGAGAGCCGTGTCTCTCTACAGTGAGAGGTTTTTGTACGGCGGCTCAATGACTTTGTATCACTGTGGTACACGTTCGGTGGAGGAACCAGACTGGATGTTGGAAGTAAGTCAAATGTTATTTTACAAGAGCAATTTCTCTTTTGTTGTGTATTCAGCATACTAGGCAAAATAGTTGCCTCTCCATGTCATTGTATAAATTCTTCTCAAATATTTTGCACTAAGAGGCTAACTTTCCTCCAGCAAAAGACGTTTAAATGTTTTTATGAGAGTTATTATTTCCACCTTTAATGGTGAAGTAGCATCTTGAGGGCTGGTAGGTTTAGTTCAGTGTGTCAAAGTCAGAGAGCCGTGTCTCTCTACAGTGAGAGGTTTTTGTACGGCGGCTCAATGACTTTGTATCACTGTGGTTGACTTTTGGTGGAGGAACCAGACTGGATGTTGGAAGTAAGTTTCTGCACAAAAACTAAATATGATGTTGTTAAGAGACGTTTTAAATTCTATGTTAGAATGTTTGAGAGATAGATTTTTATTATTTTAATCGTAATGTTTAGATAGTGTTAGTATTCATGTCTTTATTTCTCTTCATCATTGAGCCTAAGTTGGAGAAGATGTTCTTGAAATGTCTTTATACATTCCCAACATACTGTCATTTAAACAGCTTCAAATGTGAAATGATAAAAATGCTAATTTTACCTTAACTTATTTTAAATGTATCTATCTCGGTTCTCCCCTCTGTTTTCAAAGAAATTACGAAAACAGTTTTCATATACAGTTAAACAGAGTAAAGATAACGATGGATATTAAAAAATGTGTTGAATTCTTTCAGACATTATTTTAAAGTTTGTAAAACTGGGTAGTGATTGAGATTCACATTAAGCTCAATTGATTGTTCCATTTCCTGTATTTGTTCATTTATCCAGTAAATAATTTAAAAATGTTTTGCTGAGTTCAGGTTTTGGATGATTTGGACCACAACTTTTTAAATGCTTCCTAATGTTGTACTTTATTTCCAGTGTAGTTGAGGTGATTCTGTATGAAGTGCCTCTGTGCTGATTTGCATGAGAGGCTTCTTAAAGGGAAGTGAAACAATGTGTGAGTGAGAGACTGATGGAGCAGAACCAACATCTGACAGAAACTCCTTAAAGGAGAAACGCTCTCACAGTAAAGGTGTCCCAGTGTCTGCTGGTTGATTGACAGCTGTGTGCTCCCTGTCCTCTAATCTGATTGGTGTCTCCTAGGTGATGTCCGTCCCACCCTGACGGTGCTGCCCCCCTCCACAGAAGAGCTGCAGCAGGGGAAGGCCACGCTCGTGTGCCTGGCCAACAAGGGCTTCCCCTCAGACTGGAGTCTGGCCTGGAAGGTGGACAGCAGCAGCAGCAGCAGCAGAAGCTGGGAGGAGAGCAGGAGCCCCGGGGTGCTGGAGAAGGACGCCCACTACAGCTGGAGCAGCACCCTGAGGCTCCCTGCAGACCAGTGGAGGAAGGTGCGCTCTGTGACCTGTGAGGCCACCCAGGGCTCCCAGACTGCGCTCTCAGAGACACTGAGGAGAGACCAGTGTTCCCAGTCCTGAGCTGACTCACTGGGACTCTGCTTTCTCTCTCACACTGCTCTCAGTCTGCTCTCTGGCTCTCAGGACATGTTTCAACATCAACCTGTTTTTGCTTGTGTCGATGGTTCCAACCTTTTAAAACAATAAAGATTAATGTGTGTATTATAAAAGTGTGTTCTGATTCCCTTTCTGTGAGATATGATAAGAAACCTTATTTACATGAATTCACAAAAGCCATCATACATTTTTTCCAAATGACTTGTTAATAATTGCTAGACTGTTGATGTACTTCCGCATTCATTTTGGTTCTATCTATGTTATTAATTAGTTCCAATAACCTTAGTAGGAATATTTAAATGGTAAACCACAAAGCTCTTATAACTAATGTTTAATGTATTCTCTATGTTATGTTCATGTGTTGTTAAATGTTACCCTGAATTCATTCTGGACATCTGACTCAATAAGAAAAAGAAATGCAGGTTAAGAAATGAAAAGCAGGCTATCATCTGCATACAGTTATATAACTTGAATCTAAATTGAGATTACCTTAAAGGGCCCCTATTATACTCATTTTCAACAATATATTATAGGTCTCAGATATTTACAAACCATGTCTCTGAAGTGTTTGGCTCTAAAAACCAAACAGATCATGCATGGTATAATGCAGTAAACCCCTCTGCTTCAGCCCTGTGTTTGGTTTAAAAAAACACAATGGTGCTCTAGGAGGAGATTCAGGTGATAAGGTGGGCGGGTGTTACCTTGGTTGGTTATTGGCTAATGGTTGCACAGCCCAACAAAAACATTGTGACATCAAAAAGTGGCCAAAATCTGATCAGCTCATTTTCAGACAGGTCTTTAGATGGATCAGGATAAAAAGAAAGGGAATCTTTTTTCCTGAAACTTTCATAATGCCTTTACACAGAGGGGACACATATTTATGTATAAAAGGAAAAGTGGATCCTGAGTCTTGGATCCACGACCTCTGCAGCTCATCCAGAATGCAGCGGCTCGTCTGGTCTTCAACCTTCCTACATTTTCCCACACCACACCGCTCCTCCGCTCCCTTCACTGGCTTCCAGTAACTGCTAGAATCCACTTCAAGACACTGGTACTAGCGTACCATGCTGTGAATGGATCTGGCCCTTCCTACATCCAGGACATGGTTAAACCATACACCCCAGCACGTGCACTCCGCTCTGCGTCAGATGAGCTCCCCATTGACATCAGGACAGCCTAAAGCTTACACATCTTCCGGCGCAGACTGAAAACTCATCTCTTTCGACTCCACTTTGAGCAATACAATAAAAAATAAAATAAATAAAATAAAAACATACTAACAAAGCACTTATATACTAACAAAGGACTGGCTTATCTAAAGCCAGTTGAGTAGCACTTAAAATGGTTTGGCTCTATGAAACATAATGTACTTATATGATTCTGTTTTCTTCAAGTTTGTATCTTCTTGGTCGAATGCACTTATTGTAAGTCGCTTTGGATAAAAGCGTCAGCTAAATGAAATGTAATGTGGATCCTGAGTCGTGGATCCTGAGTCGTGGATCCTGAGTCGTGGATCCTGAGTCGTGGATCCTGAGTCGTGGATCCTGAGTCGTGGCTATAGCTGTCGCTGTGGTCCTGCCTGATGCTCTCCTCCTTACTACTTCTTTGATGGCTCCCACAGGATTGTTGCCATCCACCTGGATTCAATGTCTTCTTATTTATAGACACATGCATTTTCAAGCATTTGGACTACCTATGTTGTAAATGTATTGTCTTTTTAATTTACAAACAACATCTATTGCACGTCCGTCCTGGGAGAGGGATCCCTCCTCTGTTGCTTTCCCCGGGTTTTTTTCATTTATTTTCTTTGGATGTTTTTCCTTGTCCAATGTGAGGGTCCAAGGACCAAGGGTGTCGTATTTATATTCTGTACAAACTGTAAAGTCCACTGAGACAAATGTAAAATGTCTGATATTGGGCTATATGAATTGATGGATTTAATCTTCAGCTTTTTCATTGATATATACACATATATACACAGATATACAGTTTTATAATTTTTTTAGAAGAAATTGCATAGCATCATTGATATATTGTGAGTGCAATAAAACGGTATCAATGATACACTTATGTAATTGTACACAATTTCTTACAGCATGATAGAAAATAAGTTTTGTTAAGAGCTAAAATATTTTTCTTTTCCTGCTCCTTGACAAATTACGTTAACAATGTATATATTGCACATATAGCACATATTGCATATAGTTTGATGAAGATACCTGAAATGCTGATGCTTTTCTTTAATCTCAATAAAGCTGTGTTATTTCAGTTTTCAGATGCTCCTTGTTTTATCATCTGTTCAAATCTGCTGTCTGAAATATAGCTGACACTTTAGATCAGCAGCATGAAGTGTTGGATTCACATCTGTTGTTTACCGTTTACATTATTTGTTAAGTTGTATCCCAATGTGCTTCAAGCTAAACTGGAGATGATCATTTCAGATTTGTTTGTCCATTTAAACGGTGTAATTCAATTTATATTTAACTTTCACATCCATCACTCACTAAAATGTTCAAAGGACTGTTAAATGAACTTTGACGGGCTCTTTGAAAAGATCTCATGTAACAGATTATTTTGATTCTTGGCTCCACATTAAATAAAGAATCCAGTTTAAGATACTGGTGATCCCTTTTAGAGCTCTGCATGGTCAGACAGCCTCCTTTATCTCTGACCTTCTACAGCGCTGTATCACTAGGAGGTCAGAAACGTCTCATGATCAGGGCTGGCTGGATTTACCTCACTGCAGACTTTAAAGTGAAGGTGACCTTTGATTTGAAGTCGGGACTTTTCATCTTTGGGAGTCACTCCAGTTAGACAGAAGTGAACACTGTTCAAAAAGAAGCTGAGGACAAAAGAGTTTAGTGTGGCTTTTATAGATTTAGTATTTTAGTATGGTGTGTATGAGTTCATTCTCTTAATATATTATTAGGAACATTTCAGAAGTCTTTGCTTGAAAAAGAAAAAAGTTACACGCTTAATGGAGATGAAAGTGTGTGTGTGTGTGTGTGTGTGTGTGTGTGTGTGTGTGTGTGTGTGTGTGTGTGTGTGTGTGTGTGTGTGTGTGTGTGTGTGTGTGTGTGTGTGTGTGTGTGTGTGTGTGTGTGTGTGTGTGTGTGTGTCCTCAGTGAAGTGTAGCTTCCAGCTGCAGCAGTCAGTTCAGTTCCTGTTCAGTCTGACTGAGGGAGGTTTTTGTACGACGCTTTTTCACTGTGTGAACACATACTGACTGTTGGGGTAATGGAAACTCTGACAGTAGTAAACTGCTGCATCATCAGTCTGGACTCCACTGATGGTCAGAGTGAAGTCAGAGTTTGATCCACTGCCTGTAAAACGCTCTGAAATCCCTGATGCTCGAGTGGTAGCATAATAAACAAGAAGTTTAGGAGTTCCTCCATCTCTCTGTTGGTACCAGGCTAAACACTTCCCAGCATGAACATGGGAACTGGTCGTACATGTGATGGAGACGGAGCTTCCCGCAGCAGAGCTCACTGCTCCAGACTGAGTCACTGTGACCTGGCCTCTGGACTCTGAGGATACAGAGACAAAGACATAAAGCAGCGTCATGGTTTTGTCCGCTTCATTCCAGAGGGACGGATGTTTCACAGAGGAGAGGAGTTTGATTCTCTGGACTTTACCTGTGAAGCAGCAGCAGAGGAGAGTCCAGATGAGGACGCAGATCAAAGTCATGTTTTTGATGAGGAGGATTTCTGTGGCTTCTGTTGTCATGAAGGACAGCTGTCAGTCATCCAGTGTTCAACTCTCAGGACTATAAGGTCTCCCAGAGCACTGGAGCATGGTGCTGCTGATGCAAAGTGTCTCTCTATGGAAATGCTCTGACTGACTCCAACAGGGACCTGGATTACTCTGATGATGCTGTTTATCAATGGATCCATCTCTCTGTCAGAGGATTGATCAGGAATGGGTCAGCGCTCACTTGTTTGAGGCTCTAAGTTCAATGGAGACATTTTCTTGCAGTTAATTTCATTAAAAAGCTCAAATGAATAACCCCAAATAATCAATACCACCTAGGAAAAACTAAATGGAGGTTTATTATGAATCCTGATGGACAAACAAACATGTATTCATGGGAATTATGCACATTTGGAAGTATAACATGTAGAGCTTTTATTAGACATTTATTGTTTCATTTAAGTGTTCAATTACTTTGATGAAAAAGTTGATAAAATCTAAAAGAAAACATATTTTGTAAACAATTTGTTTTTCGAAAGAATCATCTTCATTTTAAAACTTAAGACACAACTTAATGTTCCTTTTAAATGTTTAAAAGGTTCACAAAATAAACATTAGATACTTTTCCATAGTTTGTGAATCTGTTTCAAACATTTGAAGCAGTTCTTATATAAACTGGGTAAACTGTGGATGTGTTTGGTGAGTTTGTTTGTGTCAAAGTCAGAGAGCCGTGTCTCTCTACAGTGAGAGGTTTTTGTACGGCGGCTCAATGACTTTGTATCACTGTGGTACACGTTCGGTGGAGGAACCAGACTGGATGTTGGAAGTAAGTCAAATGTTATTTTACAAGAGCAATTTCTCTTTTGTTGTGTATTCCGCATACTAGGCAAAATAGTTGCCTCTCCATGTCATTGTATAAATTCTTCTCAAATATTTTGCACTAAGAGGCTAACTTTCCTCCAGCAAAAGACGTTTAAATGTTTTTATGAGAGTTATTATTTCCACCTTTAATGGTGAAGTAGCATCTTGAGGGCTGGTAGGTTTAGTTCAGTGTGTCAAAGTCAGAGAGCCGTGTCTCTACAGTGAGAGGTTTTTGTACGGCGGCTCAATGACTTTGAATCACTGTGGTGGACTTTTGGTGGAGGAACCAGACTGGATGTTGGAAGTAAGTTTCTGCACAAAAACTAAATGTGATGTTGAGATGTTTTAAATTCTATGTTAGAGTGTTTGAGAGAAATTTTTTTATTATTTTAATCGTAATGTTTAGATAGTGTTAGTATTCATGTCTTTATTTCATCATTGAGCCTAAGTCGGAGAAGATTTTCTTCAAATGTCTTTATACATTCCCAACATACTGTCATTTAAACAGCTTCAAATGTGAAATGATAAAACTGCTAATTTTACCGTAACTTATTTTAAATGTATCTATCTCGGTTCACCCCTCTGTTTTCAAAGAAATTACGAATACAGTTTTCATATACAGTTAAACAGAGTAAAGATAACGATGGATATTAAAAAATGTGTTGAATTCTTTCAGACATTATTTTAAAGTTAGTAAAACTGGGTAGTGATTGAGATTCACACTAAGCTCAATTGATTGCTCCATTTCCTGTATTTGTTCATTTATCCAGTAAATAATTTAATAATGGTTTGCAGAGTTCAGGTTTTGGATGATTTGGACCACAACTTTTTAAATGCTTCCTAATGTTGTACTTTATTTCCAGTGTAGTTGAGGTGATTCTGTATGAAGTGCCTCTGTGCTGATTTGCATGAGAGGCTTCTTAAAGGGAAGTGAAACAATGTGTGAGTGAGAGACTGATGGAGCAGAACCAACATCTGACAGAAACTCCTTAAAGGAGAAACGCTCTCACAGTAAAGGTGTCCCCAGTGTCTGCTGGTTGATTGACAGCTGTGTGCTCCCTGTCCTCTAATCTGATTGGTGTCTCCTAGGTGATGTCCGTCCCACCCTGACGGTGCTGCCCCCCCTCCACAGAAGAGCTGCAGCAGGGGAAGGCCACGCTCGTGTGCCTGGCCAACAAGGGCTTCCCCTCAGACTGGAGTCTGGCCTGGAAGGTGGACAGCAGCAGCAGCAGCAGCAGAAGCTGGGAGGAGAGCAGGAGCCCCGGGGTGCTGGAGAAGGACACCCACTACAGCTGGAGCAGCACCCTGAGGCTCCCTGCAGACCAGTGGAGGAAGGTGCGCTCTGTGACCTGTGAGGCCACCCAGGGCTCCCAGACTGCGCTCTCAGAGACACTGAGGAGAGACCAGTGTTCCCAGTCCTGAGCTGACTCACTGGGACTCTGCTTTCTCTCTCACACTGCTCTCAGTCTGCTCTCTGGCTCTCAGGACATGTTTCAACATCAACCTGTTTTTGCTTGTGTCGATGGTTCCAACATTTTAAAACAATAAAGATTAATGTGTGTATTATAAAAGTGTGTTCTGATTCCCTTTCTGTGAGATATGATAAGAAACCTTATTCACATGAATTCACAAAAGCCATCATACATTTTTTCCAGATGACTTGTTAATAATTGCTAGACTGTTGATGTACTTCCGCATTCATTTTGGTTCTATCTATGTTATTAATTAGTTCCAATAATCTTAGTAGGAATATTTAAATGGTAAACCACAAAGCTCTTATAACTAATGTTTAATGTATTCTCTATGTTATGTTGTTGTTAAATGTTACCCTGAATTCATTCTGGACATCTGACTCAATAAGAAAAAGAAATGCAGGTTAAGAAATGAAAAGCAGGGTATCATCTGCATACAGTTATATAACTTGAATCTAAATTGAGATTACCTTAAAGGTCCCCTATTATACTCCTTTTCAACAATATATTATAGGTCTCAGATATTTACAAACCATGTCTCTGAAGTGTTTGGCTCTAACAACCAAACAGATCATGCATGATATAATCCAGTAAACCCCTCTGTTTCAGCCCTGTGTTTGGTTTTAAAAAACACAATGGTGCTCTAGGAGGAGATGCAGGTGATAAGGTGGGCCGGTGTTACCTTGGTTGGTTATTGGCTAATGGTTGCACAGCCCAACAAAAACATTGTGACATCAAAAAGTGGCCAAAATCTGACCAGCTCATTTTCAGACAGGTTTTTAGATGGATCAGGATAAAAAGAAAGGGAATCTTTTTTCCTGAAACTTTCATAATGCCTTTACACAGAGGGGACACATATTTATGTATAAAAGGAAAAGTGGATCCTGAGTCTTGGATCCACGACCTCTGCAGCTCATCCAGAATGCAGCGGCTCGTCTGGTCTTCAACCTTCCTACATTTCCCCACACCACACTGCTCCTCTGCTCCCTTCACTGGCTTCCAGTAACTGCTAGAATCCACTTCAAGACACTGGTACTAGCGTACCATGCTGTGATTGGATCTGGCCCTTCCTACATCCAGGACATGGTTAAACCATACACCCCAGCACGTGCACTCCGCTCTGCGTCAGATGAGCTCCCCATTGACATCAGGACAGCCTAAAGCTTACACATCTTCCGGCGCAGACTGAAAACTCATCTCTTTCGACTCCACTTTGAGCAATAAAATAAAATAAATAAAATAAAAACATACTAACAAAGCACTTATATAATAACAAAGGACTGGCTTATCTAAAGCCAGTTGAGTAGCACTTAAAATGGTTTGGCTCTATGAAACATAATGTACTTATATGATTCTGTTTTCTTCAAGTTTGTATCTTCTTGGTCGAATGCACTTATTGTAAGTCGCTTTGGATAAAAGCGTCAGCTAAATGAAATGTAATGTGGATCCTGAGTAGTGGATCCTGAGTCGTGGATCCTGAGTCGTGGCTATAGCTGTCGCTGTGGTCCTGCCTGATGCTCTCCTTACTACTTCTTTGATGGCTCCCACAGGATTGTTGTCATCCACCTGGATTCAATGTCTTCTTATTTATAGACACATGCATTTTCAAGCATTTGGACTACCTATGTTGTAAATGTATTGTCTTTTTAATTTACAAACAACATCTATTGCACGTCTGTCTGTCCTGGGAGAGGGATCCCTCCTCGGTTGCTTTCTCCGGGTTTTTTTCATTTATTTTCTTTGGATGTTTTTCCTTGTCCAATGTGAGGGTCCGAGGACCAAGGGTGTCGTATTTATATTCTGTACAAACTGTAAAGTCCACTGAGACAAATGTAAAATGTCTGATATTGGGATATATGAATTGATGGATTTAATCTTCAGCTTTTTCATTGATATATACACATATATGTACAGATATACAGTTTTATAATTTTTTTAGAAGAAATTGCATAGCATCATTGATATATTGTGAGTGCAATAAAACAGTATCAATGATACACTTATGTAATTGTACACAATTTCTTACAGCATGATAGAAAATAAGTTTTGTTAAGAGCTAAAATATTTTTCTTTTCCTGCTCCTTGACAAATTACGTTAGAAAGCAAACATAAACAGTAGGAATTTAGCATTCACTCAATATTTATACAAAATTAAATATGTGCTATAATGTCACTTGGGGTTCACAGTTATGAGGGCCAAAGTTATAGAGTGGTTATTAAAGCTGTTAGAAAACCTTTTGGTACTCAAAAATCACAAACTAATTGTAAAACTATTTTGAACAGAAATAAACAAGTTTTTTTTATGTTGAAAGTGTTTTTGTGGTATTACATTAAAAAAATGTTGGTAATGAATGCTATAGTTATTTTTTTTCTGTGCAGTTGTTCATTCAAATCACTTCCTCTTTAGTTGAGGAGGTTTTTGTACGACGTTGTATCACTGTGTGAACGGGTAGCTGTTACACTGCTGACAATAATAATCTCCTGCATCTTCAGTCTGAACTCCAGTGACGGTCAGAGTGAAGACAGTCCCAGATCCACTTCCACTGAAACGATTTGAAACTCCAGACTGAAGAGATGTAGAATGATATACCAAGGGTTTAGGAGCTTCTCCAGGTTTCTGAAGGTACCAGTTAAGGCATGTACCAGCACTTGTACTGGCTGTACATTTGATAGAAAGAGTCTGTCCTGGAACAACAGACAGAGATCCAGGAGACTGAGTCAGGAGGATTTCTCCTGATGAATCTGGAAAACATGAAAACAGCAGAAGGGTTATTGAGACAAACAGCGTGGAGAAAGATGATCAACATCCAAACAGAAGAGCATCCTCTCTTTAACA